AACCCCAACACCCCAACAAACAAACAAACACCCCCAACAAACAAACAAACAAACAACCCATCACCCTGACTAACAAACAAACAAACAACCCATCACCCTGACTAACAAACAAACATACAAACCAACAACCCAACAAACAAACAAACAAACACCCCAACAACCCCAACAAACAAACAAACAAACAAACAAACAACCCCAACAAACAAACAAACAAACAAACAAACAACCCAACACCCCAACAAACAAAACAAATTATAGATTTATAGGCCAAATTTGTTGGAAATGCACGTTAGGAGAGTGATGCAAGTCCTTCCCACAAAAGCCCTGTACCAAGGGGTAGAAGAGAAAGAAAAAAACATCTGAACAAAATAAAGACTTTTCCGCAGCCTTTGTAGAAATGCCCTCCAACCCAAATGTAGATTTACGGTGTAGTCATGTTTGGAGGGTAACAAAGGATTAGGCCTAATTTTTTTGCCTTCCGGAACAGTGATGCACTGGTATACCATTCTATATATAAACTTGTATCGCATGTCTAAGTGTGATATCATGCGCTTAATGTACATAAGTGCTACGTTTAACTAGAATGGCATTTCATCAGTCAACAAAAATAGCAGTTTCCTGGAAAGGGTAGGAACTTAATCTTGTGTAATTTGTACCATATCTACGGAACTATAATTCATGTACTGTTTTGTCTCGCATTGCATTGTGTGGAAAAGAAAACCAGTATGTTCCCAAATTATCCAAATTAAAAAATTACTTATACGCACATAAAGAAATGGATTTCATTAGGCTTTTAATTATCTGTACGGTGAGATTTGGGGGATTTTATTCCTCAATTTGGATGTTTGGCTCTGATTTTTTTTCTTGGGTCAAGTTTTTTTTGTTTTTTTTTTTGGCATTTTCAAAGTTTCATTCCTTGTAGGCCTTTCACACAGATGAGGCAAGGGTCACAGTGCATAATTGGACCAAAACGCACACACGTACAGGTACAAACCGATTTTTTTCCCCCTACACTTTGTCATGTGCTGGTAGACCCACATGTACAAGTACATGTGTACGTTTCAGTGAGAGCTCTCAGAGCGAAGATGAACGGAATGACATCCCGTCTGCAATGTCTCATTAATACATGTAGTTCTGCGATGCTTTGGTCCCATCTGTGTAAGCAGGGACCCCCCCCTCGTGTCTGATGGTGTCTGATGTTTCATTTCCAACCTGCTCATATTGATGTACGGGACACGTTGTCTCGCAAGGAGCCTGAGGACACAGCCCTTCAACAAACACCTCTTGCGTTACCAAGACTGCACTCCTTTGGGATTTGGTTTTTCCTCTCTATATACCTACCCGTATTGATCTGGATAATGGTGTTTGTTTTCTGGATCCCTCCCCCGCCCCACTGAACGAGATGAGAAAAGTAGTTGGCATCTGGGCCAGAAATGTTGATGGCAATTTTGGCTGGCAAGCTCAAGCGTGGACGACCAGCAGCAATTTTTCTTGAAGGCTACCAGGTTGCAGACCGTGGGTGTTCGTGTGAAATTGCTCACTGATGAGAAGCATACGCACATGCACGCGTACCCAGTTGTACAGTTCTCCGAGAAGACGTGGTCGATATTCAACACTTTCATTTTGTGTAAAGTTCACCTGGCACGCTGCCGTCTGTTGCCCTAGCAACACGCCCAGTCAGTTGTTTTGTCACTGCAAACAAGGATGACGGTATTGTGGGTTGTTTCCCACAAAGGAAGTCAAATTCTTTTGCAAGGGCAGCTTGTGAAATGTACATGTAACCAACCCTTTTTTACCCAGAAACCTTAGGTCTTTACCTTCCCTTGTTAGGCACGGTGCTTCCAAGGTCCAAATATGCATGTACATGTACATACATGTATACACTTTATGGAATCAACCCTAACCACCCTCAATCCTTCAAAATCCTCCGAGCGGTTTTGAAGGATTGTGGAGGATTGAGGCCGCATGGCAAAATTGCATTGCTCATTGCAAAAGGATGCGTTGTCTCAAGGTTGTGGGTCAGACCTTGTGCTGTTTACGTTCAGCCGCGCATGAATTCATGCCCACCATGTGAAACCCTCCTGTACTAGTGCAAGATACCGTCCGCACTGCCTCAACATCTTGAGAGGAATTGGCGGAGGATTTGGAAGGATTGAGGCAGTGGGCACTCCTCCACTGACTATACGTGCAAGAAAAACCAGAGTATTTTGGTGGATTGAGGCTGTCCCCAATTTTTTCATGGGGCCGTGGGAGGATTTTGAAGGATTGAGGATGTATCTTAGCCAAAAGGGCCTAGGCGGTTAGAGTTAAAGTGTTAAGTTCTTCTCAGTGTTTGAAGCAAAACTTACAGTACAGTGATGTTTGGTATTCCTCACTCCCTGAACGAGCAACTGCTTGCACATCCGTAACTGTTCTGCTGTTTTATTGGTGTTGAAACAGATTCAGTTCCCTCCCCCCACCCAAAAAAAATGAAGTTTACACCTGTCAGCAGGGAGAAATACATGTAACTTTAAAAGAAAAAGAGAAACAAATTGATCCTTAGTCTATATACCAGCGCCCATATGAAGTCGCTCGTTGTTTCTTCCTAATCACGAGGTCACGGAGACCCTTAAGCTCTGGGGCTGTTTCGAGCAGCTCGAGCAGCATGCGTACACCTCGGAATTTGCCAGGATGCCGGGTCTGTGGATGTTGTTTACCGGTGAACCTCGGCTGTCTGGACGTCAGCATTCATTTGACAGCTGTTCCTCCCCTCCCCTTAGAGCAGTCCCTGTTATACCATCTGAGGTTATTTACACCGCAGATCTACTCCATCCTCAGGGGTCAGTCAGGGGTCAGTCAAGTTTGCGGCTTGCAGATCAGTAAATTAATGCCATAGGCAACAGTGATGTTTTTTTTTTTCACCAGTGTATTTCTGCACTTGAGCAAATTCGTGTTGATATTAAAAATATGGCCCTCCAACGTGTTTCAAACACATACTCAATTAAAAATAAGTCCTCATCTTTTATTTTCTGTGCAACTTTTGGTGGGCAAACCAGTAACTTTGGGAAGACGTTTCCCTCCATAGATGATAAACCCCTGAAAATAATCCTTAAGCCCATCACCATTAAAAAGATTCCTACACTCCGTTGCAAACTAAACCCGTTTGGAGGGTCCCACTTTTGCCCAGATTTATCCGAAATACCAGTACAGTACAGGCCGGCAGTCCAGTTGTGGTGTTCCGCCTGTCCCTCTTTACGAGCCCGCCAGTTCACAGGCCAGAAAATGCTTGTAATAGTCGGCACGTTTGACAGCCCACAAATCGTGCCAGTCATGTGGTCTATTTCTATCCGGGGCCTGTTTGCATATAGCTTGTAACCTGAAGCAGATTCAGAGGATCGGTCATTAAACTGTTAAACCAATGCTATGCTTTTATTGCCAGGGCAATCAACCGAAGCTTTGAGGTTTTTTTTGTTCTTATTGACGATGTTTTCTACTGGTACCTTTGTCAAAATGCATATTTACCGAACAGAGTGCATGTATTTTATTGATGATAGTTGAATATAGCACCAAAAAAATTAAACACGGTTTCAAAGAAATTTGAACCACCAAAATGGACTTAGAGCAAACAAAATTGAATCATTGCTTTAGACTACTAGTTGGATGGAAAAAAAAGGAATGGAAAAAGAGGAACAGTTTTTCTGATATAAAAGTGGTCCTTACAATTTTTCCTCACCAAAAAAATGTACATAGCCTACGAGTAGTTTGAATTTGGTATAAACATTGCACAATATTTTTGTCACATGGGCATATCTTTGCACTTGCGTGTGCTGCGGGAAAAAATAAAAGGAGAAAAAATTTACACATTCATAAATATGGATAAGATACATACATGAACAATGAACGTTATTGCTCTGAATATGTCAACTTTAATATTGTGGCTGTCTGAAATTTCTCGTATGGGAGGAAAGACTCTTTGATGCCAACGGCGTTCTTCTACTTTCATTTCCTTTCATTTTTTTCCCCGTCTAATAATTGACGACGCGATGCCCAAAGGATTCCCTGGTTTTTCCCGGGTTTTGGACTCCCCGTGGCTTTCCGGTGGGAAAAAGACTCGATTTGTTTTTTCTCTTCAGCTGCAACGTGACGAGAAAGAAGAGAACTTCTCATACTGGGAGAATCTGTCAGCCCTGAAATGATTCGCAGAGAATGAAATTGTCGGAATCATTAAATTTGAAAGCCCTTGTCGTTCACTCAGCATCCGGGCATGTTGGGTATGGGGAGCTTAAGAGCTTGGGGAAAATATGCTGAGACAGAATTCCCTGGTTAAATGTTTTGTTTTTGAAGAGTGAAAACTGTAGATTTCAAAGAGACCACCACAGTTCAAGACCCAACATTGTGACTTTACTTGCAGGTTGCTGAAACGACCCTTCGGAATGTCACCAAAATACTGGGGTATAAAGTTACAAGATTGGAAAGGATTGCTTCGTTCTTTTTGTTTTCTCTAATATGCCTGCAGTACTACAACATTTGTTTTTTCCCAGGAAAACTCTTAGAGGTGTACCAATTTATGTGAATAGTTCGTGTTAAGGACCTGATTTTTTAGGAGGGTGTCAGGAGAACAACGCGTGAAATCTCATTTCTTGCTCCAGATACGGTACATGTACACTTAACCCTCTGAGACATTCGACCCCAATTGCTCTCCTTGTGAACATCACAACAGCCCCAGAGCCTTGATTCCACAATCACAACAGACGGTTCCCCTGCTGTAGCCCCCTGATGCACTGCCCAACTTACTGATACTCTCTTGAGATTCCTTGCCAATCTTCTGCTTCCTTGGTTGCACTCCACGGAGACATCGAAAGAGGACATAGAGCCGACTTCTTCCCCCCCCCCGAAAAAAAGTTCACTCCAAAGTTCAATTAGAGTGCAAGATTAGAGAAGGTTTTTCCCTGAGAATGCAATTGGGAAGAGGGGGGGATGTCAGGTTGGTGTAGCAGTTCTTTCATCGCCTTCCACCTGTTGGGCGTGGATTTGATTCTTGGTCTGGTCGACGCGTGAATTGGGTTTTCTGTACCAGCACTTGATTCCGTAGGTTTCACCCAGAATTTTTCTTCCGGGGTTTTTTTTCCTCCCACGGACTAAAATTGTAACTGCTTCTCATTATCTGCTCTAGAGGCTAGAGCTACATGTTTCTTCAGGCTTGCAAGCTACAGTGCCCAAGGATGCTTTTGAGGAAGCCTTGGTGTCAGTACCAGAAATGTTTAAGAATTATGTAAATCATAGTTTTATCAATAACATCCACCATCTTTGTATTTTTGTACAGTAGAACTCCATAATCTCAGGAAAATATGCCTGGCTTGTGCATGTGTTTTTCCAGATTGCCTTGGATTGGGCCTCCCGTCGTTAATGCCTGGTGCAAACCCCCCCCTCCTCTCGTGTAAATGGCACATGTAGATTCTCCACCGAGTCTTGTCAAGAAATTGCCCATGTCTGTATTGACGCGACTTACCATACACCGCCTGGATTCTGCTCGCACATTATGTTAGGCCCATGAATGATGGTTCAATTAGTTTACATTGTGTTCTTTATTGCACCGTCACGGAAGGACGGGATTGATTTTTTTTTTCTCTTCACCAAACAAGCTGTCAGGGACCGCTCGTTAATTGGTCTAAGGAAGAGGCACGCGCAGGCTACGCGCCCCGCTCGCCTGTGTAATTGGGGGCACGCACTGGCTCGTTGAGAAAACAAATAACACCGCACGTCCTGGCAGGCCAATAAAGTTTGAAAAATGGTTTGAGGGAAGAATCTTGTCTAACAGCCTGTGGTGATATCCAAGTAACCTATTAGTATGAAGTACTTGTATGTGTATAGCTGGATTACTTGGAATTGCCCGAGCAATTTAAAATTTGTCCATGATGGCGAATCCTTTTTTCCCGTGAGGGGATATGAGGAATGGTTTAACTAGTGAAAATACTTCATGTAAGCTGACTAAATGTGACTTAAAATGTTGTAAGATTTTGTACATATGTAGTTTCAAGTCTCGGCCAACTTTCTTTCCCCCCACCCAGTTGTTGAAAATTTGGTTGCATTTTTAACATATTTGGATTAATTCATATAGCGTACATGTACGTGCATCAGCGTACATGTAAACTTGTGTAAAATCCATACAATGGACCAAAGCTAATTTGAATTGCAGGTTTTGCCATTTGCCCGACATACATCGCAAGCACTGTATACTCGGTGTTTGTCCGAGAGCTTGAAAGCTCCTTTCTTCAGAAAGAGTTTTACATACAAATCCAATGTTGCTTTGGTAACGGAGTCCAGAAAATCTTGGAAAGTACTGGTATGCTTTCAACACAAAGCAAATTAAAAACAGCTGCTCACTTCATTTTAAAAAAATTGAAAAAAAAAAAATGAAGAGAAACATTTTTTGAAATTAGAGTCCATATAGACCCAAGTCATTGACCATTGTACATGACAGTGCATCATGATCACCAATACGTGCACATTCTTATGGTCGAGCAAAACTGCACTGTTCATGTACTCTGGCTTACGGCTGAACCGCCGACAGTACTGCGTATGCCAGCATGGACGCAGGTGTCCGACAGGGGTTCAAATTAATCTAGACCATTGAGGAAGAAAATTGGAATTACCGGTCGATAGAACCGCGGCGAAACACATCGACGTGTTCACGCAGATGCACAGACTCACGCAGGATGAGCCCCATATGGGATGAGATTGTCCCGGTGTCATACTACGCATGCCGACCCGTACAGTACATGTGATTACACGCATCCTGGCGCCATACTCGTACATTTACTTACATGTACATGTACTAGTACATGTAGTTCGTTATGCAGGCAAATTGATTTCTGCACCGCTCGGTCCCTAATTTCCTGATGTGAAACAGTGGCGTTGGAGCTGGATTTTGGATGATGATTCCCTGGACTGTTCCTCTTCATAACCTTGACCCCATTTTGAAATGCCTCTGAAACTGTTTTTCAAAGAGGGGAAAACATTGTGTGGACGTGTGCGAGTCCACACAATGCCACCACACCCTACATTATGAGGACTTCTTTCTTTTGTGCAGAGGTCCACACTATGTATGCCACGCCTGCACATGTACATTACATTCATACATGTACATCTCTACAAGTGCATTCAAAAATGTGACTTCCACTGCTTATAACAAGGCTAAACTTCCCTTCCCCCTCCTCCTTCCCCCCCCCAAAAAAAAACATTGTCCTGACAGACTAAGTTGAATTCTAGGACTTGTGATCATTTGGAATGAATCAAATGAAAAGACAACTGCTGAGTGAATACTTATGCTGTGTACGTTGCTTGAAAAAGTTTCAATAATTGTTCTTTAGATAACCGCTGAACAACACGGATTGGTGAGGACTTGCTTCTGTATTTGTTGAACACCGCAGTATTCATTGTAGGAAACTGAAAGAGATAAAGGGAACAGTCTTAAAATGGAGTTCATTTTCAAATAACAGATTCATTCATAGATTTTGTAGATATTGTAAATTAAATTTGCACAGATTTTTTTTTGGGGGGGGGGAAATGCCCGCAAGAAAATTGTTTCCTTTCAAAGGTGGAAGGGAAAGTTGACTTCATTTGTGTAAAGACTGGGCAAAATCACATGGTATATTTGGCAGAATGTTTTCACATGAACACAACTGATTTCCTTTTTGTCCACAGCCTACTGACCAATTTTCCCCTGATGATCTGTCACGATTGCTCCCACAGTCTTTAGCATCAGTCCTGAATAATCCTCCAAGTCGAGATTGCATCTCTGGCTGGCCAGGTCGTTAAAAACAGAAGCTGGTTGGCAACTTGGCACGGTGCCAAACAGTCGGCTAAACTATTGATTGAAGCTTAGATAGCGCTGTGACATTTTCTGGGAGTTGTAAACATGTTTTTGTTCTCCCAAATGAACAGCAACCGTGGATTTTCCTATCACAAGTTGTTACAAGTGTTGTTCCACTCGCTAATAATCTGCTCTGACCAACCGATGCTTGCGCATCTGCAGATGACATTTGGTCCTCCGTTCTCTTCCTTCGACTCTGGTGAAGATGGAATCCTTCCTACTGCCTTGAGTCTCTGCTTTGAATGTCATGTTGACTGCCAGATCGCAGTCTGCACAGAAAGACAGGATGAACTTTGTTTCATTTTTTTTTTTGAGGACAGTCATTCTATTGATCAAATGCACATGTATAAATCTATGCTGTCCAGATTCAAATCGTTGACCTTTGTACAGTGTACGTGTACAAATTTACATGTACACAACAATTCCTGTGAACTTGTAGAACAAAAAACAGCCAGCTACATAATACATGTACATTTATATTGAAAGCACATAGACTTGGAGTCCTTCACCACTTGCTGGTGGAATTATTGGGTGCTGAAAATTTGGATTTTTGAATTAGCCATGTGCCTGGTATCTTTTAAAATTAAAGCCACGTGCTTGAAATATGGACACTAAATAGAGTCATTTTGCCCAGGAACAAGTGGCTGGTAATCATCCTAAAAAGATGATCTCAAGACAGACCGTTTGCTTCAACTTATAATAAGCCTTTGTGAGTTAAATTTGAATAAAATTTGGTACAATGAGCTCTGTAAATTCACATGAACATATTAATTTGAATTCTCCATTCTGAAGACACTGTTGCTATACCTCGTGATTCGGGGCATGCTTTTGCTTAGTTACATAAGAGACGCCTTGCAACCATACACTGTTGTCAATGGATAAGAAGGGCACAAAGGAACCAGTCCATTCCAGAGATGGTGGTCACTATGCAAATGCTTGCCCCAAATCATGAGGTATAGCAACAGTGCCTTTAGTCTGGAGAATTCAGATTGTTATGTTTATGTGCAATCAGGTAGCTCAATGTACCAGATTTTATCCAAATTGAAAACAAAATCAACTTTTTGAATTAATCGCAACTAACAAAAAAGGAAAAAAATGGGAGATATTGAGGTGTTTGATGACTGTAAACAAACCAGTCCCACGGGACTGTCCACTGTTGCTTGAACTAAAATGGTTGTGCTCAAAATGACACACACAATATTGGATTCGTCACATGGGACTGGTACATGTACATGTACGTTTGCCGCCACCAAGCATCTCAGAGATCTCCCAGCAATCAACAGCAGAGCTTGCGGGCCTGGAAACTCTATCCCGTAAAAAAAAACCCCATGTCTCATCTCTCCGTCCACCGCAGGTCGCGTGACCGTCTGCATCTGGGTCATCTCCTCCAGCGGGCCGGGCAAGAGCTACACCTGCAAGATCGCCCACGACTGCAAGCCGGAGGACATCATCGCCGAGACCATCCGCAAGCGGACGGAGAGCATGGACCTGACGCCGGCCCAGCAGCAGCGCTGCGTGGAGGAGTACAAGGGAACCTACGTCCTCAAGGTGTGCGGCTGCGACGAGTACATCATGGACAACTACCCCATATCGCAGTTTAAGGTTTGTTTCCAATCCCCGTCTTCAGGGCCGGATTAAGCATTACGTGGGCCGCTAGGCATCAGTGTTCTTCAGCCGAATTTGCATGCTTGGTTTTGCCGACAGAAGCTCCATATGGCACGCATTCTTACCGAGAGTTAATCGTTGGAAACTACAGTAGTTGCCTGTAAGTGTCAAACCAGCCAGTGGCATGCGTGTACATGTACATACATGTACATGTCGTAAAGTTAAATCCGAAAATTGCCAAGGCATGGAAATTGAAAAAGGGTGTGTGTGGGGGGGGAGATTTCTGGACACCCCTTTATACTTTCCTCTGCCTTTACAGTTTCTTTTAAACACATTTTGGCTGTTGGGGAAAATTTGAAACATGCCTCGGCTTTCTACCTTTTTTCTCACCATGAAAAATTGGGAAGGGGAGTACCGGTAGAAACCATGCATTCAAATGTAATTGGTCAGGCACAACGTGCGTCTCCTGTGCCAAAATGCACCCATAACTCTGCACCAGCACATGGTTAGTTCCCATGAAAAGGATTGTCATTGCTGTGTAAAAACTTCCCCTTTCTTCACTGGATTACCGGCACGATGAAATCGCCAAACAGGCTTTGCATTGCAGCCATGTTTAATAAGCGACGCCTCTCTCTCGTCTCGTCTCCACCGTAGTACATCCGCCAGTGCATCCTCCGAAAGAAGACACCCCAGCTCATGCTGATGTCGCGGGAGAGCGTCCTCAACAGTCTGCCCGACGTCACCTTCCCCCTCCCTTCCTACATGAGGCGGGCTCCGCCCACCCTCCCCCGGGACAACTTGCAGGCGAAGTGTCTCTGGGATGTCAAGGACTTGTTCAAAGTCAAGATCAACTGTGCAATGTATGTTAACGTCAAGGAACTGGACAAGGTTGGTACATGATGGCCAGCTTATTTTGAAAAGAATGCCAAATTGCAGACAAATTTATAGATGGGAAACTTCATTTCAGTTGTTCACGTACACTGTACCTGTAGCTTTACATGTACCTTGATGGGTCATGTCACCAGTCTCCCGTGCCTAGCTTGTGGAATGTCTCTGTGTCTGCTGCACTTTGAAAGATCTGATTATTGTATTTCTTATGAGTCAATTTGTCTTTTGACTGAAAGAAGAACAGGGTCTCCAAAACTGTTGTGTTGTGACTGGTGTCGTGTCTGATCCTGTGACCGGTCTTGTGACTGGTCATGTGTCTGGTCTTGTGACTGGTCATGTGTCTGGTCTTGTGACTGGTCATGTGTCTGTTCTTGTGACTGGTCTTGTGACTGGTCATGTGTCTGATCTTGTGACTGGTCTTGTAACTGGTCCCGTGACTGGTCTTGTGACTGGTTTTGCAGGTTTCGACTACAATATTGGGTAAAGCCATGTCTAAGTCAACAGGCTGTGGCTAAGATTAACACACATATCTATGTGAAATAGTTCTGGCCACAAACTAATTTCTTGCTATAAGCCCACATGTTATTTCTAGTCACAACAGCACTTTCAAATTCAATGATGGTGCATTATTTTCAAATTATTTGCAGCAGAATACCAAATTACAAATGGATTGACAACCGTGAAAAGCTCTACAAGAATTAAACAATATATAAAAGTAAAAACTTACACTCATAAATAAGTTAAACAGAAATCCTAGAATTGTTGAGATGAAAACAAATGTGGTTTCTTCCAGATTTATGTGCGTTCAGGGATCTACCACGGCTCTGAGTCGCTGTGCCCCCAGGTCATGACGGAGCACGTCCCCTGTTCCAACCCCCGCTGGAACGAGTGGCTGACCTATGAGCTGCGTGTCCACGACATCCCCCGCAGTGCCCGGCTCTGCGTCTCCATCTGCTCCACCAGCAAGCGCAAGGGAAAGAAGGAGGTGGGTACTTTTTGCTGAAAAAATAATTCCGTGCCTGGGACAAGTTTGTTGTGAAGTGAAACCCTAGACTTGAAATCGAGTCGTTAGTCGGTTGCGTTTGTCGTCCGGAACAATATGAGCCAGCATGCTGCGTCGCTTTACAGTTCGTGCTGAGCGTTCCACCATGTTGTACTGATTTGGCCCGGATACGACACGTGGTCGTGGGCTGCTCACTACCGGGATTCGGTGCCTGCCTAACGACTTTTTCAACCCGAAATCTGGTTGGTATTGACGGCATGCAACAACTGCAACGCATATTCATATACTGGTATTTCCATGGAGAACGCCAATGGTAGCTTACACTACATAACAGGTTCATCCATTTTATACACAGGAATGTCTACATTTGATTAGTGCCACTTTCTTTCATGCTGGAATCTTGCATTAATATCTCTTTTAATACGACGTTTGTTGTGAAGTTAAACCCTCGTCAAGTGGTTAAGCAGGAAAAAACTCGTCACTGATCATGTCTCAGCAGGATACCAGCCACTGGTACTGATAGTGTGCTTCACACTGTAACCCGGTAACCTTTATACTGGTAACCTTATCACACGCTTAGCAAACTGCCGGGAACAATGTGACCGGCTCTGCAAAAAGGTATATTATGTCACATTTGTTGGAATTTGAGTTATGTACATGTACATGTATATAATCAAACTGCTCACATCCTCAGCTTTCATTTGATATGTAATTCATCCCAGTGGCATTTTTCGTTTTAGAGCCATTTGCATATTCATATAATTTCATGTTATCACACATACTTTTTGAGATATTGCCCTGTAAACATGACGAACAGAAACATTAAACCTCCTGCTGCTGTAACCATCAAAAACAGTCAAAAATTTCTTCCACTTGATTTGCCCCAATACACAGGCACATCTGGGAAATTTGACTGATTTTGACTGACATGACAACTGGGTCAAGAATGTAGCTTAGCATAGGAGGGTTAAACTTAAATTAGACACTCTCTTGGTTTTCCTTAGCAACAGAGACTCTCTGGTCAAGCAATTGGCCTCAAAATATTTCCAACTATTTTCAGCCTCGGCACACGGAATGGGCCATCATACGTTTTTGCATTGCACGACTTAATACACCGTTTGGCAGAGCAGGTCACATATTTCTTTCTCCTCTTGAAGGCAATACGGTACCACCATTAAACATCGTCAGCTGTCAAGCACTTAGTAGTCAGTCAGGTCAGACATGCTTGTTTGCCAAACAAGTGACTAGATTAGCAAAAGTGGCATTTGTGTATCAGCTGTGATACAGAGAGTACACGTATCTCTGAGCACCGTTGGACTTTGCTGCCATAATATTTGGGCCCAAGGGTAAACACAAAACATACGGAGTTTGTACGATTAAGTAATTTCAACTCAATGCATGCATTATATGTCACATAATAAATAGGTTGCTGGCCAGATTTCATGTACAGTAGATTACCCGTTGTAGCGCTCTCAAGGAGACCTAACAGAATTGAGGCTTATAACCGCACAGCGCTGTAACCGACTGGATGGATGCGGAACATGTGCAGTGCACATGTGCACATGTACTTTTATGTACATTTATAGATACATGTGTCTACATGGACATGTATGTCATGTATGTGGAATTTGTTTACATGTATTGGCAGATGTATGTACAGTAACTTTCGTAGTATATGCCTTGTGTCCGTTTATCTCAACGTTTTTGTGACGCCAGTTAAAAAAACACCAAATTTCTTCAAACACCGCCATGGAACCTTGTGCATGCTGCATCGCGGCTCACACACTTCATCCACACCCACCACGACATCCTGACTGCTACTGCGCACCCATTCATGGACAGTCCAATCGCTGACTTTTTCCAATAACCACGTGATCGCAGAGAGTGATATGTCATCAGAAAACAGACCCGACATGTCACGCCAAACACAGTCGGCGAAAAGACGAGATTTGCTACATGAAGATACTCATACAATATAACCGGCTGATTTTATTTATTGGTAGAAAGAAACCTTCAGGTAACAATACACAGTCGATTTTTGGGGGGCACCGCAAGTCAGTTTGACCAAGGGCATGATTTCACATTCATTTTGTCTGTCTGTTCTCTTGTTTACAGTCCGTCTGCATCGCCTGGGGCAACGTCAACCTCTTTGATTACACCAACCGCCTCCAGGCCGGGAGTCTCCGCCTCTACCTCTGGCCCCTCCCCCAGGGCCACGACGAGCTGCTCAACCCCTTCGGCCAGACGGGTTCGAATCCCAACAAGGACGCGCCCTGCCTGGAGCTTGAATGCGAGCGCAACAAGTACAGCCTGGTCTTCCCCCAGTTCCAGGAGATCAGCGACCACGCCAACTACGTGCAGTATGGCGAGGAGTGCAGCCCGGTCTTTGTAAGTCAAGATACTGACCTCAAAGGAGTCAAGTGGGGGGGGCAGTGGTACTTGAATCATTCCGTGAGGCTGGGGCACAATTTGTGATGGTGTCAATTGTTACATGGGTGCCGTAAAAATGAACAGCTATTTCCTTGAATGTGGATTCCAAATTGACATTGTTATACATCTTGCAAGGCTGAATACACAGGTGTGCATTATTTTTACGGAGTAAATGACCTACTATACAGGTCATGACAGGTGGTAAAAGTTCGGGATGTAACAGGGACACCGTCACAGGTGGTGCCCCAACCTCATGGAATGACCCACTTCCCTTGCCTTCCGCCTCGGCGACCCGGGCTTCGAATTCCACCCATCCCCAGCCCAGGTGGATTGGGTTTTCAGTTCCCACCAGATTCCCTTGGCTTTCCCCACAGTATTTTTCCAGGGTTGTCCTTCCACCTCTACAACTTAGGATGTCTGATTGTCTTCTGCCCCCAGGGTCCTGAGGGAAAACAGGTTACATGTGCATCTGATAGGGCTTCACCACTGTTGAATAGTGGGTTCGTAGACTAAAATGCCCATTTAAAGACAGGCGATGACAGAATGCATTGACGAAAGACAGTGTGCGACGCAGTCAGTAGGGGGCGCCAGACCTCGGTGGCTGTGGCAAGGCCGAATCGCGTGGGTGCAAATGATCCTTCATATTTCCTGGGTTACGATGCGGAGGGGTAAAACGAAAAGGTCGATTGCCCTGTCGTAATATGTGACACAATTTTTTCTTTCGGAAGCTCTTGGACAAGCACTGAGCATACAGTGTTTATTAATACATACGTTGGGTAAAACCCGTTATAAATTAACATCTCCCCAACGCAAAAAGAAAAAAATACATCTTGAAATAGTTCGCAGCTAATACTGCTATACCTGACTCGGACCGGCCAGCCGACCACGGCAAGCTTGGTGGTCGAGTGGTTAAGACATCTGCACTAGTAAGCAGGAGGTCGTGGGTTCGAGTCCCACCCAAGTAAGCTTGTGACTTTTTTCGCAAGCTCTCGGACAAGTACTGAGCATACAGTGTTTATCAATACATACGTTGGGTAAGGGCAAAACCCGTTATAAAAAAACCAAAACATATTGTGAATTCTAGAATTGGTACTCGGTCGCGTGTGCATAGGCATTGGTGGTATTGTATCTGCACCGAGCGGAACCAAGTAAGAGCGTAACTTTCCTAGCAATGCAGGCTCCTTTGGTGGAAACTGCACTTCGCAATGCAGGCTCCTTTGGTGGGAACTGCACTTTGCTGGTTCTGAAGTGACCATGAAATGCAAGCGTTACAGTCGCATTGCTACCAACAAAATGAGCGCTCCCCACCAACACGGCTCTTTCCATCTGACGAGGGGGTGCTTCTGCTCATAGCGGATAGTGCAGGTCTCGACCCAGGTTGAGGCAGACTTAAGCCTGGTTAACTACATTACGTAACCAAGTCTCCCCTCCCCCCCAGGAGCCAGTTCAAGAGCCGACCCTAGAGGAGGCCAAGCAATTGGACGAGATCATCGGACGAGACACGCTCCACGAAATGTCGGAGCAGGACAAGGAGTTGGTCTGGAAATACAGGTACTTACAAACTGTTCTTCTCTGCCGGGACCAGAGCTGTTTATAGAAAGAATTGTGACATGAGTGACTCCATTGTTGGAACCAAAATGGAGGATTGTGTGTTGCCCATGGACAACTAGCACACAGTAGCCGCATGTAATACTGTACACATAATGAACATCCATTTTGGTTCCAAAGTTGGCGGTACGCCCTCTATACAAAGCTCTGGCCAGAACAGATGCAACCATATGCAGCAAGGTATGAGACGGAGATAACCCCCCCTGCTTTGTGTTGGTCATTGTCTCGCAGGAATCTGGGGAATTCCTTTCAGTCATCTTGGGGGGGGGGGTGTGTTAAGTAACAATAGTCTGGAATGTGTATAGGGATTGGACATGTTGGGGGGTACCCCTCGGTCTCATTTCTTGCTGGGTATAGATGCAACAACCCCAACTCCCTAGTCTGGTTCCCTGCCCCGACATTTCTAATGAAAGAGAAGTCTAGGTGCTAGCCAGTATCCTGTAATCTATTCATTTCTGAATACACTTGAAGCTCAGTTCAATTTTAGCGGAATGGCTTCTCTGCCTTGTGCCATGTTCTGATCAGTGGTGGCTACCTGACCAACGATCTGTTGTAAAAAGTTAAGGAGAGGGGGATCACTGTCTTAGGGTACCAGACTGGTCGTGATAAAAAAAATCACGTCTTCATCTCCGTCTTCAGCTCCATCTGGACCTCCACAATCCATTGCTTATATCAACTGTGTCACCAAAATGAACATTCTTCAAACTGTTGCCTCACAGTAGACAAATGGATATTCGTTCACAGTAAATAAGTTGGAATTGAGCTTTGGGTCTCAACTCGGAGGGCTGCGTTCGTAACACTGAAGCCTGACTCAGACGATAGAGACAAAGTCAACTTTTGGAAAAAACCTCATTAATAGGCTTCACAGGGTCATTCGCATGTACTATGGTGTTATTACAAACCAGTGCGTTTGTATTTGAGTCCATCACAAGTCCTGGCAAGTCCGTCACAAGTCATCCAGGCTTAAGTCAAGTTGCAAGCTATTCAATTGAAATTTGTGACGAAAGCAATCCGTTGTCATTGTCCGCTCTGTCACCTGTGACCAGTGTTGTGAAAGGACATGACCGCATCTCGTCAGCAATAGCCAATGAAACCAGCCAAGAGAGAGGCTGGTACTTTCAAACCCTCCCTGTTGGTGTTCCTTCCTCAGGTCATACTGTAAAGTTCGACCAAATTCATTACCAAAGCTTCTCAACGCTGTCAAATGGAACTCAAGAGATGACGTATCACTGGTGAGTTACATGATCCCATCCTCTTCGATCTATTCAATAGCAAAAACTTACACCCTTCCGTCCTTGACACTCAAAACCCTTTAAGGTTGACTAAAACATGCTCTTGCTAGAAGACTTTGATCACACACATTCAAATGCATTTCAAGCAATCCTCAATCGTTATCGGGACTACTTTTTAATAAAACCTTTCGCAGTTCAGTCAACCTCAGGGCTAATGTTTGCAAACTCTGCCATGTTTCATTACACCTCGCATGGTCTTTGCTTTGGGATAGAGGATATTCGAACAATCTCGTAAGAAAAGCCTGGAGGCTTTTGTACAATTTGAACCAGTTTCTGTGAATTTCAAGCCAACAGTTGACGGGTTTAAGCAACATCTGTAAACTTCCGACAAAGAATTTTGATTATTTTTTTTTCCTCTTTCATGTTATCATTCGCAGCGCATCGCCATATTCAGTCAACAGCTGTCAGGTGAAATTATTTCTTTGGTTTTTGTCCCTTTTTTTCTCTCAGCTGTACATTCTGCTAAAAGACTGGGATCTGGTAGACAATGAGACGTCCCTAGGCCTCCTAGACTGCAGCTACGCAGATCTCGGTGTGAGAACCTTCGCAGTGGAATCGCTGGAACAGAACCTGACGGACGAGGAGCTGCTGCAATACATCCTGCAACTTGTTCAGGTACTTGCCCTCGGTATTTGGTTCCAGAGGGAAGTTCTAGAACTTATCAATTCTAGGAGCAGTTCAAGAAGTGGTAGATTCTAGAGGAACTTCCAGAACTGATAGATTCTAGGGGAAGTTCTGAAACTGATAAATCTGAGGAGCAGTTCTAGAACTGACTGATTCTGGGGGAAGTTCTAGAACTGATAAATACTAAGTCAACACTTATATTGAATTCACATGAACTGATAAAAACCACTTGCCAACCAAATGCCTAGTTGGGTATTGAAGGCACATATTTCTCAATATTCAAGAAAAAAGAAAGTGTCTTCAATTTGTGGGGCAAGAGGGACAAACATGATCCAATGTTGGATCTTATAATGCACGTTTTGAAATGTTCTTTAAGGAACTTAATTATCGAAGGGACGCTGGATTTATTTTTCTTCCTGTCAGGTGCTGAAGTACGAGTCCTATCTAGACAATCCGCTGGCACGGTTCCTGATGAAAAGGTCGCTGTACAACCACCGCATTGGGCATTTCTTCTTCTGGCATCTCAGGTACGCTAACAAACCATCCCTTCTCAGTTGAATTTCTTAACGTCAGACACCTTGTAGTCGTCAAACAGTAATTGCTGAGAGAATTATTGCGGGATATGATTTCAGTTTTTAAAGACATTTAAAACAGCTAAACAGAAACAGAGAGCAAAAATAACAAAAGTAACACTTCATCAATATCCAAAATCTGTTTTTCTGCCATTTTGGTGTTTTCCTCTCAGAACTCATTTCAGACTTTTTTTCCCGTAAACTAACCGGTTTTCTTTGATTAACAGCTTCTTTTATGCAGGGGCTGTATAACCGTACATTGAACTGAGTTTTAAAGAATTTTTCGTCTTTGAAGGTTTTTATGCGAAGGTATTGAACTGCACAGAGAAGAATTTCCAGATTGTAATCCAGTTTGTTTTAGGTTTTTTGTAAAGATTATAAGACAACTATTTTCAAAATTCAGTCAATTTTTTTTTCACAGGTCTGAGATGCACAAACCCAAGGTCAGCCAGCGATTCGGCCTGATGCTGGAGGCGTATTGCCGGGCCCTGGGACCCTACCTCAAGCTGGTAGTCAAACAGGTTGAGGCCATCGATAAACTGACAAATCTGACAATATCGCTCAGCGTGCGCAAGGACGACACCAATAAAGTGAGTCCCTGACCTTGATCTTCATCAGATGTCTCTACCAAAAGTGGACTGTGTAGAGGCTTTGCGTGGCAGCCATCTTGCAGGCAGTTCTTTTATTCAACAGGGAAACCTCTTTTGTACATGCCCTGTGGAACAAAATCACTGGCCTGCAAGATGGCAGCCGTGCAAACCCTCCATACCTGAATTCTGTCTCAAAAACAAAGCGCTTGATCAATACCAGAATAACGTTGCAAACAGATTGCTAGAGTTGTTTTTCAGCTGAAGTCCTTCATACAGTTCAGGTTTGTGTCGTGACCTTGCTTTGTTCAGTAAAGTGGCATTTTCCTGGGGGGTGGAGGTTGACTCTGAAACTTTGTTTATTGGTGCCGTAATCCAGTTTCTTGTTTGTATTACTTTTACCGTAGGCCAATTTCCTTGTTCGCTTAGTGCTTTGGCCTGCTTTCAGTTTGTTGTTTTTGGTTTTGTTTTGTTGTTTACTTTGGCTGGGTTCCCTGTGCGACACTCTGACAAGTTCCCTTTTGATACATTAGTCCACTTGCTTCAGTGCACTTTGATCTGTGAAATCGTTTTTGATGTTCCTGGCGTGCAGGTAGCATCTGTATTTCATTTTGCCCGTTTACTCTATTTGACACCGAGGTGTGTTTTTTTTAAAAACTGGGCCTGGTTTCTCATTCAATACGTTTGGTTTCTCTGTGGGCTCATGTGGTTTTGTTTGGTTCTTTACATATGTTCCTGGTTCTTTTTCTGAAACTTGGAACTGGTTCCATTTGTCTTTCTTTATAAGGATCATTTTTCTTACAACCTATTAAATGGTCAGTTCACACCTGGCCTGAAAGCTATCATGGATGCAGCTTAGTGATGCCGGATCTAATATTCCTTCCTCAGATTTGAAGAAGTTGAACCTGTTTCAACTCCAATTGATTTTTCACAACAAACACTTTCTGCACGGTTGATAAAATGAACCCTCAAACCTAGTTCACTTTGTGGGAATTTTTTTCCCTACTCATGTTCTTCAGCCCCATTTTGACGTGGTTCCTTTGATACCTTGTAGGACCGACTGAAGTACCTGTCCGATCAGATGCAGCAAGCCGACTTCATCGACGCCCTCCAGCACTTCCCCCTTCCCCTAGACCCCCACTTTACCTTGGGCCGGCTCAAGGTGGAGGAGTGCCGCATCCTGTCCTCGGCCAAGCGCCCTCTCTGGCTGGTTTGGGAGAACCACGACCTGATGTCTGAGGCCATGTTCGCCGACATGAAGATCATCTTCAAGAAGGGCGACGGTGAGTTTTCTTTTTTTTTTTTCCAAATCCTGGTGTTTTTGTTCCGTCCTCCGCTTAAAGACCCATGCAGTGGTCGTTCTCTTCTGCATTTCATGAAAACTGTAGATATCCTTTTGAAGTTAAGTGTTTGGAAAACCCGCTTTTTAAACATGCACAATTGTCCGAGCTTTCTCGAACAACAGAGGGCGCTGTTGCTGTGATGTCAGTCAGGGAAGACATTGTGCAGTTTATATCAATCTGTGAGACCAAATTTGTTCATTGAAAAGATTTCTGAGGAAGAGTTGATTTATTGCCATGTACTTTAACATACAACAGTGCACCATTTGAGGAAATAAAATTTAGGATAGCCAACTATCAGAAATTTCACAAGTTTTTTATGTGGGAAAGTCCGTGACATCACAGTGTTGCTAATGAATATGGAAATTTGCATAAGCATAAAAAACCAGCGAGCCCAAAACTAACCTTTGGAAATACACGTAGCACACCAAAATATGAAATTAAGGTCAGTGTGGGCACAAAGGTGCATTTTCAAGGGTTTGTGGTAGAGCTATGAAATAAGTTTCTGGCATTTAGTGTGCTGTAACCAAATGGAAATGCTCAAAGCATTTGCCTGAGGGTTAACAGCATCCTGTTAGAGGAGGAAGTTGTCTGTAGGGTTTCAGCTCAGGCGATGAAATTAGAGAAATTGAATACTTAATCTGAAGACAAATTTGAAGCAAAGATTTGGAAAATTGACCTTTCGCGAAACAGCTCCAAGCTTGGAAGTTTCTCGTTCTGTGTAGCACATTTCGATGCCCATGTTGCAAATTACACACACAACCACACACAGTTTGTATCTGTATCCCAAGTCCACATTCTAGGTGCATGACTTCTGAAAACTCGGAATCACCCTGTTCCATTTTGTACATTTCCCCAAATCTCTGGACCTGTTTCAGTGACCTAATTTTAAGGTTGATCATAGGTATGTGATTGCAACAAGATTTGAACCTACAACTTTCAAAGCCCAAAACAAGATTTGAACCTACAACTTCCAAAGCCCAAAACAAGATTTGAACCTACAACTTCCAAAGCCCAAAACAAGACTTGAACCTACAACTTCCAAAGCCCAAAACAAGACTTGAACCTACAACTTCCAAAGCCCAAAACAAGACTTGGACCTACAACTTCCAAAGCCCAAAACAAGACTTGAACCTACAACTTCCAAAGCCCAAAACAAGACTTGAACCTACAGCTTCCAAAGTACAAAACCCACCACTCTACCCATCACTCAATGGCAGTCACCGTCCTTTCTCATTCTGGTGGAAAGTTGTTTTGCTTGTCCTTATCCAACTTACGTCGGTCTTCCTAGTTAAACCTGTCACAGGTGTAGTCGAGTCCATCACGAGTCCCTGCGAGTCATTCAGTCCTCGGCCTCGCCACAAGCTGTTCAGATGAAATGAACTGTGGCAAAAGCATTCCTTCGTCACCGTTCACCATGTTACGGATGACTGGTCTCTCGGGAAGGGACTTGTGAAAGAAGTTGTGATGGACTTAACTACCTGACCAAAGCCTTTAACCCCTCCTGCCTCATCGTCATTTAGACATCGCTTTGAATCGTTCAGAGAGTCATGACGTAATCTGTCAACAAAAAAGCAGTGAGTAGAGAGAGAGGGAAAACAGAAAAAAAATCTCACTGGCGTTTCTGTCCAACAATTTGCTTTTGCAGATTTGCGTCAGGACATGTTGACTTTGCAGACGTTTGAAATCATGGACAACATCTGGCAAATGAACGGGCTGGACCTCAAGTGAGTGACCGGAGCGGCTAAAAAAATCTCATCATCCAAAAGGGGTAGAAGACTGACTTTGCCGTGCCCACGAGCAAGAGTGTTTGTCACAGGAGGGCATATTCCAGATTGTCATTTTGAGGCATATGCCCCAAGTTGCGTACTAGGGCACCAGAGTTGTAGAGAAGTTGCTCCAACTGCTTTTTAGCTCAAATATTGAACTGTTCATTGCAAGAAGCGCTCAAAAAGTACTTGGTTTGTACTTGTTCACAAAACATTTATCCTCGGGCTTGGTTTAAGGTTCTTGTTATCCAAAGTTTTTATGTCTTGTACATTTACTCTCTGTACTGTTTAGCTTTATCCACTGCACTCAACCACCTTCAATATTCCTTTCGTGTGTGCCATTTCGCATCTTTCACAACAGATTCTCACAGTTTAAACCTTACCCACCTTGAGCAGAAGCACCCCCTCATTGTTTGAAAAGAGCCATGTTGGTCGGAAGTTTCCATTATGTTGGTAGCGATGTGACCATAATGCTTGCACTTCCTAGTCGTTCACAAACCAGCAAAGTTCAGTTCTGACCAAAGGAGCCTCTGTTGCTAAAAAAATTGCGCCCTCTCTTGGTCCGGCTCAGGGCTCATTCCCAATGCAAAAATTACATTGTATAGATATGTTTGGCGGAGTACCTACTGCTCATTTGGCACAAACCGGCCATCTCCCAATGCAAAACAAACATCTCGTAAGTGAAATACTCCAGATCATGCTGTGGTATGCTGTGTATTGGGAATGATCACTTTTACAGGGTGTTAGCATTTCATCTGACTCGGAGTTGAAGGCTGAGTTTGGGCGGCTTGTTCTCATATGTTCACGAACAGTTTAATTCGTTGTTTTCGGGCCAGCCGCTTGAACACCGGAGACACACAACCGGTTGTCGCTGACAGTGATAAGCAACATGCAATACGGCGACATCCATGTACGTTATTCGAGAGTTAATGTTTGGATAACTAGACTGAATTCTTTTCTGTTTAAACAGGCACATTTTTTTCTGTGTTACGGAAAATAATCGATGTTATTTTCCCATTGTCTCTGGCTTTGTAAGCCATCTCTCTACTTTTTGCAGCTGTTCAGAAATCAAAATCTCACGCGTTTTTCCGTGTGTTCCTGTAAAACCCTGACAAGGAGGTGGTGTGTGATCCTGTTCCAAGAACAGTGTTCATGAGTCGTGTTCCCGCCGTTCGAGCGCGACAACAAGAAATCCGTGTCAAGAACAGGTCGCCCGAACTCAACCAAAGATCCCAGTTACATTCTGTTTTTCCACCTCTGTCACACAGCATGCAGCCCTACAAGTGTCTAGCGTCCGGCAATGCCACCGGCCTCATTGAGGTGGTTCGGAACTCCTCGACGATCTACGACATTCAGCACAAAGCAGGCATTATGGGAACATTGCAGCTGAAGAGCAGTGTGCTGCATCAGTGGATCAAGGAGAAAAATAAGGGAGATCAGTAAGAAAATCAGCAGTTCTTTTCGATATTTGTGAGTTTGGATGGTGCTCTATGTGATATTTCACCCCAGCTCTGTTGGTGAGGCAGCGTGCTTTGTTTAATGGTGTTGCATGTGATATTGTACCCAAAGTTCGATGATGCACAGACACATCTAACTTTTGCTAGTGTTGTGTTTGATACCATAAACATGTTCTCTTTATGGTGTTGCATGTGATATCGTTCCCTTCCGCTGAAATTGTGGATCCATGAATATGTCCTTGGTTTTCTATGGTTTTTGAATGCAAAACTGTCGTCAAGAAAAGGAGGTTCGGTAGACAAGCTCTTCTATTAATGGTGTTGTATGTGATATCGCCCTCCGGAAGTAGAGGCCCTATACGCTTTGTTACGGTGCTGAATATGATATTGTCCTCCAGGTATGATGATGCCATAGACATGTTCACCAAGTCCTGTGCCGGGTACTGCGTGGCCACCTTCATCTTGGGCATAGGAGACCGCCACAACGACAACATCATGGTCAACGAGAACGGACAGGTACGACGTACCCCGTGCTTTTTAAGGGGCGGGGATGGGGGGGGAGGAGGGGCATCGTGTATTAGATGCAAATTTGACATGTTGCTGTAAACTGTGGCTGAATAGGTCGGTCGTGGTATTTAGCGTCAACAAGCGTCAACACACACAAGTAGCGTCAACACAGCGTCAACTTGAAAATACCCTCTGCAGAATTAAAAGTGGTTTTATCATATTTTAGAGACTCTAACACTTGCCACTGTATAAGAGAAACACCAAATTTGCTTCCAGATTCTCGCAGGAAAATGAAATTTTTGCGATGTATGGGAGCTGCCATCTTTCTTTCCTCTGCCATCCACCCAAAAACAAGATGGCGGCCAGTCGGACTGCACAAACAGGCCTGACTTTGTCACTCAAATTTTAACACTCAAATATTATTTCAGATGGATATGATACATTGAATTTGATATGTAGGAGCCAAATAAATATCATCAATAAAAAATCTGTGCATAAATATGCTTGAATATTAAACTTGTTGATGCTTTGTTGACGCTCGTTGACATTTTTTGACGCTAATTAGCAAGACCCAAATAGGTTACTGCCCTTGACAAGTGTTGTCAAAGCCCATTGGCTCCATGTACAGTAAGCATCAACCCCCCTCCCTGGAATAATTTGGGATAGTCAGATTTTTCCTCCAATCCCCGTTTAGTCTCCTGTCAATAATTTTTTTCAGTAAAGTGAAATATCAACAGAATTTGAAAGCGTAGAGAAAAGGAGGTTTGATTTACTGGTGAGAAAAAAGCGAACCAGATGAAGTCGTTAATTTCAATTTCAGAGGTCACTCTTGCATTCTCTGGTGTTGTCTTGTGACAGATTTTCCACATCGACTTTGGTCATTTCTTGGGTCACATCAAGAAAAAGTACGGCATTAAGAGAGAGCGAGTCCCCTTCGTCCTTACAGAGGACTTTCTGCGAGTCATCACCAAGGGCAACGATATTAACAAGAGTCCGGAGTTCAAAAAGTAAGCAGTTGACAAACATAAAAGAGATTCCCCTGCTGAAATTACCACAAGTTGGTTCCTCACAAGAAGTACACTATCATGTAAAGATGTACATGCATTCAGCCCTCACCACCTGAAGGGAGCTTTTAGTCTGCCCCTGTGTGGAACCACAGGATGTCACAGCTGTGGTTTAGATTCTGGTTCTAAAACTGAAATGTAAGTTCTACAACACAATATCAAACACTCCTTATGATATTGTCTGCTACTTAAGCTACTCCACTCTCTGCCAAGTTCTCTCCATCATTCCAACCTTCTCTTAAGCACAAAGTTCTAGAACTAGAATCCAAATATTTGAGTTGCATTCTTTTACTCTGCCTGGATTCCAGGAGTTCTGCTGCTCAGCCTACCCTCTTCTCTGATATCAACGTTCCATAATTTTAACCCTCTAGCAACGGACAAAGTTCTAGAACCAGAATCCAATCCTTTGAGTTCCATTTTTCTTCTCTGCTGGGATTCCAGGAGTTCTGTTCATCATGCTTTATCCTCTGATATCAAGTTTCCATTATTCCATCCCTCTTCCAACAGACAAAGTTCTAAAACCAGAATCAAAACCTTCAACCTCTGTTCTCTCACTGTCTCAAGGTTTCAGGAGCTGTGCTGCTCCGCCTACCTCATCCTCCGCCGCTCGGCCAACCTCTTCATCTCCCTCTTCTCCATGATGCTGGCCACGGGCATCCCGGAGCTGCAGTCCATCGATGACATCTCCTACCTCCGCAAGACCATGGCCGTGGAGAAGGAGGAAGCCGAGGCCCTGGAGTACTTCATGAAGCAGCTGAACGAGGCGCACGGTGGGGGCTGGACTACCAAGATGGACTGGCTGTGCCACGCCCTCAAGCACGGCATTTAGGAGAAATTTGAGGTAGGTTTGATTAAAGGGTGTGGTTTTTACATCTTTTAAATAGAATGAGTGGGGCTGTTCTAACTGTGCCACACCCTCAAGAACTACATCGTGGAGGACTTCAGAGTGGGCTTTGTTGAGGGTGTGGTTTTTACATCTTTTAAATAGAATGGTTGGGGCTGTTCTAACTGTGATGAACTGACTGTGCCACACCCTTAAGAACTACATCAAGGAGGACTTCAAAGTGGGCTTTGTTGAGGGTGGGGTTTTACAGATTTTAAGGGATGGGTGGGTTTAGACGGCCAAGATGGACTGGTTGTGCCACGCCCTCACGCATGGCAGCTAGCAGGACCCTGATTTAGGGGTGTGGCTTATGGAGGTTTTAATGGATTGGGCTGGGCTGGTCCATCAAGATGGACTGTCTGTACCACAACCAAAGTTGTGGTTTTACAGGTTTGATGGAACCGCCGAGGTTCAGGGTCCAACTCTTGGTTCAGTCTAAGATTTGTCTCTGACATGAGAACCACTTTGAGGCCTGTAATGTTGACCTAATACTCCCATCGTCGCGCCAATGCATGGAATTCAGTGTCTTGATGAGAGTTGTCCAGAGATATTTTGGTCACCGTAGCTAGAGCCACATATGTAACAGGGTTTCAATAAACCTTCCTCCTGTGGCACTCAGGAGAGGATGGGCCCATGAATCTTCAGTTAGATTTGTGTTTTTTTGTTTTTTTTTATTTCATTCATGTTATTTTTCTAAATGTGAAAATCTTTACCAACATTTAAAAACGGATGTTCACACCTTTCACACAAGTGGGAAAAACATTTTCATTCCTTTTCACACAAGAAGGGAAAAATTGTCACACCTTTCCATGCGGATGAGAAAATATTTTGGCGCCTTTTCACACGGGTGGGAAAACAGTGTCATGCCTTGTGAAATATCGCTTTGGATGTAAAGAGGAATTCTTTCCAAAAAAGCCCTGCTCCCTTTCTGTTCACAAGTCTCAACCCTAAACGGTACCTTCCTGTGGCAGATAATACCACCTTCCCTCCCAGCACAAGTATCCCCCTCCAGCTCTGCAGTGAGTCAGGCCCCAACCATCAAAACAGTTAACAGCTATTCAAGCTCCGACTATGTACATGTAAGCTCTAAAAGGATACCTTCAGCTTGTATTTTTTACAAGCCCAAGACATTTCCACAGACTGGATCCTAATTACCAGCCTAATCCTCCGGCCATTTCTGTTTTTCTAATTCCCGGCCTTGACTTGCGTTAAGCCAGTAAAAACTGCAGGGGATAATTTGCCTAATTTTAACCGGGGAGACTGTGGGTATCGCTGAAGGACACTGCAGACATGATGGGACAGGCCACGGAGGGAATTACCTGACTTCTTTGCTCTGACCGTATGACCTGTGTTCGCTTCTTTTTTCCTTTCATGGTCGATTAAATTTTTAGCCATCAGTAAAATATGGATTGTGCTTATTTAACTTTAATTATTTACAAGGGATGCCAGAGATGTTTTAGTATTCTCTGCTGTTTAAATTTACTTTATTCTGTAATGTTGACCAAGTTGTCCTTTTCACCTGGAAGAATTTCACTGACGTAGCGTAGAAAGTACACGTACCTGGGCTAGAGAGCTCAGTTGGCCAGGCGCTCAAACTGTGGTCAAGAAATCGTAGGCTCAAGTCTTGTTTTGCGTCAAATTCTTTGTTTCGCCTACTGTAGCTGACAGTGCTCTCAGTTGTGTGGGTTGTTTAAAAATGTTTCCCGTGGCGTTTGTTAAAGATCATGTTGTGAAACATTGTTTTTCACAGACTGACTCTGTTTTTCAAAGAGCTTTTCAAAGATTTGTCAAAATCTGAGTGACATTTCTTTACAATGCCCAGCGTTATGTAAAGAAACAAACGAGAGTCAGTTGTCCTATTTGCAACTTATCTCAGGAGATTCCCCGCCTTCTTTGAAAGAAAAAAAAAGGACACTTATCTCAAAACGTTTTGCTCAAAGGACAAAAGTAATTCCCGTCTCCCACAATTCCAGATTAAGAGATTTGGCCTTTATCTTACCGTACCACTCTTGGACGTACCGTATGTTAACCATCCCCCCGGCGAGGCAGACGAACATTGGCTCCATCAACCTCTCATTTTTTAAAATGCCAGAGGGTGGATTGGCTTACTTTCTTTGGCCAAAATCTTTTTGAGGGCGTAGAACTGATAATAAAAAAAAAAAACACCCTCTTTGCGATGAACAACAACTGTTCCTAGTCTGATTGGGGGAGGAGGCATTTTGTGGTACACGTATTTGTGAACAAAATGAGAGCAAAGTCGCCTCCCGCTCTTTCCTATTTTGAGGGTTCAGAGTGATATTGAAGTAGAGGTCAATTTTGGGGTTTTGTAATATTTGGAAAGAGTAACCCGTCTCCTGTTTAATTCCAAATATTTCACAGCATCACATATTTAAAAATGTCATCTTCTCAGCAATTTTGACGATAGCATTATTCGTGCGTGGTTTGAAATAAGGAACAATGTCGAGAACAAAGACGCTAAGCTGCCAGAATAATGCCACGCTGCCACCTTACACTTTTACCCAAATGTTCCATGTACATACCATTGGAAAGCTCTCTTTACCATCTGAATAAAAATTACCGCTGAATTAAAAAATACCAGTATCTCAGGTTTTGAAAAGTCTGACTTTCAGCTCATTTTGTGGTGACAGGTCACATTTATGGAAGCTTCATTTTTAACTGATACTTCAACTACTCATTTCAACAAGAAGTTGTATTTTTCAGCAGACAACTTCTGTTTCAAGGGTTGATCTTGAGGAGTTCAGTAATATTTATGTTGTTTTTATTTTGACTGTAGACCTTAAAAAAAATATATATCTTTTATTGTGAACCCAAAATACAGAAATTTTGTAGCCATCTTGCTATTTTTATAGAGCTTAGAAATTGCATTGCAAATTTTTTTCTTTAGAGAAACAACAGACAACTTCTGTTTCAAGGGTTGATCTTGAGGAGTTCAGTAATATTTATGTTGTTTTTATTTTGACTGTAGACCTTAAAAAAATATATATATCTTTTATTGTGAACCCAAAATACAGAAATTTTGTAGCCATCTTGCTATTTTTATAGAGCTTAGAAATTGCATTGCAAATCTTTTTCTTTAGAAAATAAGACAGATTCCGCTAATGCTTTTTCCAACAGAAACAAAACATCTTTGAAATCTGTACTCAATAAAAGCCTTTTTTAGAAGGCCTACAGCCAATTTAGAATCCCTTGATCTAACCACCCCTCTCAGAAAAGTTGAAGAACTCCTGACGGTATGCTCAGTGTCAACCCGCATCCCTAAACCCTACAATGATGTTCAAATCGCTTCTTATCACATCCTGTTATCTTCCGCTCTTAAAAGGTTAAACAAATGTCGCCCTGGCCCGGTCAGAAACGAGACAAGTGGCCGTGATTGAAGAAAGAAAGAGCGACATAAAAAAAAAATCCCTCTTGTGTTTTGACCGCGAAATGTCAATATTCTCTTCCGTCCCGGCCATTCTTGCCAATTCCCACTTATTTTCTGCCTGAATGGAGCCCTGTCTTTTCCCCCCGCTTCTTTGAAGATCTCATCCAGATTCAGCCCAAGGATGCTACAGTAATGTGTGCCGTGCCTTTGAAACAAGGTCGTGCTCTGCCACAATGGGCTGGAACGATTTTAAGGTGGTCAGAATTTCTCCTCGCCATTGGCATTGACAGAATCATTGCCAGATGGCAGCAGTTAGCTTAGGAATGGACAGTGGGTTTGGTTGCCAAGTAGATTCCTTTGATTTGCCCATTAGATGTTTGCATACTGATTTTTGCATAAAGCCACCTCTTAATCAAAGTTGTCCTATCAAAATCTGGACCATCACAGCGCTCTATCAATTTATCTGGTCAATATTTATGTTCAAATTTCCATTTGTTAATCATCCAAAAAAGATTTACTCCCAAATGTCTAAATCTGAATATCTCCCAGTTTTGAGGCCTGCCGGTAATTAGGAATAGTTATTGTTTTCCCTGTGATGGGATATACAATTCCTCTCCTCAACTAGGAAATAGTATTGATGCTTTCTGATGCATTCACGCTTAGCATAAAAATGTCTGATTAGACGATTTCCCTCCTCAATCTACCAAGCATGTAAACTTTGAGGTTTAATCTTCAAGGCTTACCATGCACCCCCCCCAGCTGTAACCTGTCCTTGGCCCACATGTTGTCCCAGTGTGGGGCTAATCCGATTCCTTCATTCCCCCAATCCCAACCTGCTTAATCCATTTAATTGAGGCAATTAGGAGGTCACAACAGCTCCCTCCCCCCAGAAAAAAAAATCCTCGAGAGAGTGTTCGTACACCCAAGCTCAAAAAAGCCTGCAAAGGCCCTCTATGATGAAAATGATGCAGATAAATGATTGAATTTGAGTTGAATAATTAAATATTCGGGTATTCCCTCAAAAGAAGGAAACAAAACAGAACAACTTTAGTTTTTGTTTTTACACATGTTTTTAATTACAGAATGAAACCTTTTGCATGTATGTTTTATTTTTGTTTTGCTGACAAGCTGTTTTTTGTTACTTGTTCGTTTTGACATTTACTGACATTAGCCAGCATAATTCTGTCACCTGGTCATGGGGCCCAATGGCTCTTTAGCACTAAAGACCTACTAACGTCAACAGCGGTCAACATTTCTTGCAGCAGCCAGCTTTTCATCACATCAGTCGTTGATTTACGAGGCCCAGTATTATATGCAACTAACAGCCTCATGGGCAACCGAGCCACAATGACCGCCTTGTGATGACAAACGTACACGAACAGACAATGGCTCTTGAGGGAACCGTCAGTGGGAGGGGGGGTTCTCATTGTTACTGTTATCAGCCCTTTTTTGGAAATGAAGCCAAGGATTCCTCAAAAACACCCTAGACACTGCAGCTCCCAAGACTGAAGACAAAGAGAAGCAGTCACAGTTTCAGAGGTGGGAGGAAAAGCCCCGACAAACGTTTGGAGCCAAAAAAAAAGTCCCCTCCCCCCCATGGTTTTGGATTTTTGCCAAGACTTGAGCAGCCCACAACCGGTGCTCCGCATGCTTCAGCGAGAAGGCCAAAGCTGGCTTGGGACAGTCCAGCGATATTGGGTTTTTGAAACTAAAAATCAGCGCCCATTTCATTGCCACAATTGACAGACACAGTTTGTTGCGTCCACTCTGGACTGCGACAGGGAATGCCAAGTTTGTAAGAGCATGAAGGGCGATGTTTGTTCCCCCCCCCAAACTAGAGCTCCCGCGCTGATCCACACGTGGGAAACATTTTTTGTTGGTGCTGAATCTCTGGCAGTAAATTTTTTGCCATCATCGGAGAAAAAACTGCAAAATGTTACACCCCCCCCGACCCCTTGCTTCATTTTGGGAGCCTCTCCCAAGTACCATACACGTAGTTGTACTCTGCTACAGGGTCAGTATGTTCGTCCAGCATCATTATAAATACCCCACTTTGGTGTTTTCAGTTGAAAAATCTGGCACTCTTGATGCTCGGGCGAAAAATCACCGACCGAATTCACGTTTCTTCCCCCACGGCCACGTACACTCCTGTCACTAACGTGGACATTACATTCAGCTTATCCCCGATAACATCTTTGAAAATCTGGATTTATTTTTTTTTCCGTGGCTGAAACAAAATATACATGTATACCGTACCAGTCCTTTTCTTACCCCCAAGGGTGATTTTCTGAAAAATGAATGGTTTGCGACTTGGGGTTTGTCGCGGTGGAAGTAACCGTCAGTGCCTGTAATCCATTTTTAGATAAATTGAAGCTCTGCAGGGCCCAGGGGTGGGATTTATTCAGAATAGGCGCTCTCGAAAAAAAAAAAAAGAATTTCTCACCAGAAAGTGCACCTTTCAACAGATGCATTGTAATGCCAGCAACGTTTGCTTGAGTGTAGCATTTCTGCTGAGAATCTCACTGATGCAGGTTTTATAATGGATCATAATTTTTGGGGGGAGGGGTAGACAATGGCCGGGGGGAGTCTTAATTGTGGAAGTCAACACATACAGAGATGAACTGCCACAGGAACGAACCAAGATGTACAATTGATTAAATAACACTATTGATCCCCTTTTTCTAGGTTTACAAGTTGTGCCACAACTGTGCGAAGATGCTCAGAATTTACAGGGGGGAGCAGTATTTGCTTTCTTATGCCCATCTGTGAAACCGACCAGGCAAACCACATTCCCCTCGTCCTTCAGGCTGTCCCTGCCCCGGGTTGTTGCAGACAGTTTTTTTTTCTCACTGTAGCTTGGGTAAAACTTAACCTGCAGGTGTCAATTTTAGACTTGGGCTATTTACGCCGCCGGTGTTTCATCTCGGCGCCCTCTTGAAGCCTGTAGATTTTGGACTCCTTTATGTCACAGGTCACGGTCATTCTTAAAACCATATGCAGCAAGGTATGAGACGGAGGGAACCCCCCCTGCTTTGTGTTGGTCATTGTCTCGCAGGAATCTGGGGAATTCCTTTCAGACATCTTGGGGGGATGTGTTAAGTAACAATAGTCTGGAATGTGTATAGGGACTGGACATGTTGGGGGGTACCCCTCGGTCTCATTTCTTGCTGGGTATAGTTAAAACGAAGGAGATTGTTTTCCCAATGGGGATGGTTTTTGTGATCACAAATTGAAGTCGGAGCGATAGGCGTGGGCTTGCGGGGTATCTGTGTTTAGCAGACCATTCTTATAACAAGGTGCAGTAAATTATTCTTATTTAAAGAAAAAAAATGAACATCTCCCCGATGACGCAACTTGCGTCTTGAAAAATAATTACACGTTGGTCAGAGAGAAAAGGGGGTGTGTATTTGTACGGCAACCACCCACTCCAAGTGTGTGTGAATGAAATTTTCATGCTGTGGTCCAGCGGTTAGGGTGTCCGACTGACCTGTATGGGCTCCATGGGTAACACTGTGCTTGTGTCCCCAGGCAAGGCACTTTACCACAATTGCTCTCTCCAAGAGTGTAAATAGGTAGAGCTCTGTAAGACAGAGAGCAGATTGTACTGATCTGGGTAATCATATCAGTGCTTTCGATCCCATGGTAGCAAGGCTCTGTACATAGATATGTGACCTGCCATGGCATATTGAGGAATGATCCCCATTTATGACTATTTGAGATATGCATATGAGAATAAAGAGGAAGGAATGGGCTTTCCAGTGATACCATAGCTAGAGGAAATCTTTGAGACCTAACCTACCTACAAATAAAAAAAATAGAAAAATTAATTTTCACATGATTTTTTACATATTATATCTAACTTCAGCCGCCAGTTACTCATTGAAGAAAGACACTACACTTTACATGGTTCAAAACGTACTGTTTAGCAAATGGCATTTTTTTTTTTTATGTTTGTAGATTATTCTTTTTGGGCGACATTTTCAGATGGAAGATTTTGCTCCAAGGGAGTGTTTGTCAGGAAAGTCTCAGCCTCGTACCAACCTACTGCATCAACAATGCACAGTGCACCAGGAGGTAACCTTTTTCAAGTGGCGGAGTGATACCCAGGGCAGAGGTCGATGACTAACTCCACGGAGACCTCAGCCACTTCGTCCCGTGTTGTCGTGCGAGACTAGAGATTCCCATCTCTGAGCTTCAGGCCGGCTTGAAATCGGCCATTTTAACACTGGGAACTTGAGATGGTAACCGATATCACAAAAACTGTTGTTGAACTCTCTCGCGATTTGTCCAGCGTAGTTTCATCTGATAAAACGCTTCATCCCTGATCGGTTTACATTCTAAAGAACAAGAAAAAAATTTGAAAAAACAAAGGTGTAATCCGGATTTGTGGTCAAAGCATTGATTCATCTTTTCCCGTGGGAAGAAGCCAAAAGAAGTATTTGTTCCAAGGACTGAAGCTAGGATTTGTTTTGTGCAGAGATAAGAGAGGAACTCAGGACGGTTGGGACAATGAGTCAGTTGGCCTGAGGCTCTTACTTTGCCAGAGGGGACAAAAGTAGAAAAGATAAAATGAACGGTTGCAAACATCTTGTTACTTTCAGAATGGTCAAATTGCTTACAGATGGTTGTAACAGTCAGAAAAAAAAAATGGAAATTGAAGTGGGCTTGACTGTCTTAATGTCGTAGATGAAGTTGCATATCCAGGATAAGCGGAAAATACCATTCGAATTGTAACTCTCGTGGCAGGTTTGTGAGAACCATTCTGAGTCCTGCAGAATTTGGCATTCTGCATGAAAGTTGAAACCAGTGATGCGTTCTTTGCATTGAAACTTCCAATTGGCACCAGACCCCATGTGAGAGTAGGACTGGCTAGGATATGCCTTTTCCAATCTTGCAAAAAAAAAAAAACAGCAAAATCCTATTCTATCAGTCCGTCGTCAGACCGGTGGCGCTGATCTTTTAAGTCTGCCATTTCAGGGCCTGATGGCTGACCACAAACATAGATTTGTGTCAGTCACGCGGGCACTGCAATTTCTTTTGCTGCAGAAGAGAAGTTAATATACTGTTGCACTGCATGCGGTTTGTACATGTGGAAGTCTGACTCTGACAAAATTAGACTTGTAACCAGCCTCATGTACGTAGAGAAATAATGTCTAAAATACTGGTCTCGTGTGTGTTGAATCCAGTGTGTGTAACACAACTCATTTAATTTACACTGTATAGCTAAGCCCTAATAACAGCAGCATGGTATTCAATGTACATATCTACAGGTTACTAATCTGAAGCACAGTGCATCAGTGTATCGATCCGCTAATTGATAATGGATGAACTGATACCAGGTATTGATTATTGGTGGATTGATTGATTGATTAATCATTTAAAGTAGAGCAGTTGTCTACAAGTAATGTGCTGTTTGGTTTATTTCCACCCGTAAGTAGCATTTAATATGGGGGGAAATTAATGTGAAATCGAGAAGGTTTATTTTTATCTGTGTTTTCACAAAGTGAGCGCCTGCTGACCACGGTTTAAATTAAAGGGGTCACGTTAATTAAAATGTTAAACATAATCAACTGACCAAGTTGGGTTGCTCTTAGTCGATGACCAACCAAAATACAAACTAGATAAATTATACCAGGCACGAAATGGGACAGAGGTGTACCCCCCCCACAAGTCCAATCCCTATACACACTCTAGACTATTGTTACCTAACACATCCCCCCTGGAAGTCTGTAAAGAATTCCTGAAATTCCTGTCCAACAATGACCAACACAAAGGCGGCGGGGGGGGTTCTCTCTGTCCCATATCTTGCTTCAAATGAGATAAACTTGTATTTTGGTTCTCCTGAGACAGACGCTTTCCCTCTTGTTAAATCCTCTTTTTAAATGGCTTGTCGGTCAAGGGAAAAAGTACAGTTCTTTACTTCGATCTCTTTTGACCAGTTCATACAGTCCGAGAATGAAACTGTAAAGTTTCCTCTGTTTGATTCAGAAAGAAATTTCTTTTCACAATATTTTATAGTCTTTCTAATACTTCACTAACAGAAATGTTTCTTAAACCTATTTTCGTGTCAGCCGTTGCAGCTAATTTTTCCCTGATTATTTATGAGGTCATTATATTTTACTCAAACATTTTTAATCACTTTTCCCCTTTCCTCTAATGGTTACCTTTAAAAATGCAGTTTTTAGATCCAGCTAAAGCAGGTGGCAGTGACCTCAAGCCAGCAATCCAGTCAAAATATCCTGCCCTGTATTTTAACTTCTTTTTCCCCTTTCATTTCTTTTATTGAAGTAAAAACTCCTGAGTTCGTAACATTCATCTGGGTCATTTATCAAAGTGCTGTTTCTACTGAAATAGACCATACACTTATAAATGACCAAAACAGAAAGAGTTGTTCATTCACTTTGCAATCTGTGAAGTTGAATTGGTTTGTTGAACTGGTTAAACTCTGGCCATTCAAATTTGAGACAGAAGATGCCAACTGGAAAAAAAGGATGATAACATTTCTGTTTCCAAAACTTTGATTGGTTTTAAGGGTCATTTCAAAACAAAAAAATGAGATTTTTTAAGAGGGTATCTGTTTTCATTGTTGCTTTGCTTTCTTCGTTTTTGTCTGTTGTTTTTATAAGCTGTGGAGTTACTGAAGACAAAATATTCAAATTCATTTACCAAATTGGGTATCAATTCTTGTTTTTAATATCAGTCCTGTTCGCTCACCGTTTATGCTGTTTTAAGTTTTCCTTTGTCTGAAAACCATTTGTCTCATTAGTCCCAAGACCATGTTTTCGTCTTTGCCTTACGTTCCTTGACATATCTATTCGTGTCAGGCCAATATGGAGAAAGTATTATCAATATTGTTTATTTCATGAATCAATTATGATCTACAGTTTGTCCGGAAGAATTAAATCAAGGAAGCACAGGTGATTCACCAAGTTATTTGTGATGCCGTCTTGTTTTGTTTTTTTTTAAACCTGGGTGCGTTTTGGTATGCCGTAGACCCTAAACTCGCCATCGTTTCTGTTGTCGCGTTGCCGACAGCGCTTGCATTATGTGAAGTCTTTATCGTTCCGGTTTAATGGAAACATTTCTACTTTGGCGTATTATGATGATACCGGTTTTTAGAAAACATCAACTCGCGTTGAGGCACAGTGCTCAATGTCATGGACCCTAAGATCGGGCAAGACCGAAATGGAGACGGAGCCAATACGCGGACTCGAGCACAGACCCTATTCTATCCAGGGATTTGAAATAGCGCCCTCTGTTGAACGACGGTCTGCGTTATACTTTTCTAGTGGCGGGATACTCGACTAAAACTTTTCATTACACGTGCGTGGTAGCGAAAATGTCTCGGATTAATTGATTGACTTTAGAATGCTGTCTTATGTCGAGTTCAAGACCTTTTAACCGTCTGTCTAGTTAGAATAAGGAATTTTTTTTGGAGAAAAAGTGTTCAGCATTTATGTTTTTGAACTGGGGTAAATGTATTCGTGTCGAAAACCATAGAGTTGGTGTTTTAAATTTACTTTAGCCTGGAGATGCAAGAATAGTGTAACGAGTGCTGTGATCAGGCAAACAAATACACAATGACTGCCCGGTCTGGAAATCCACAACTCTTCCAATTTTGCACTAGGAATCTTCACAGATTCAGCGGGGCTCACAAGCCTGTAACTAGGACTTTTCGTAGGGTGCAAATCCTCAACAAAGCGGACTGAGCATAGATCTTTTGCTTTTTTGTTGTTTTGAAAAACAGCAAGATTCATTGAGGTCGTACTAACTGTTTTTTGGGGGGGTTACAAGTAAACTCCCGAAGAGGGGATTGACTGGGGCGAAAAATACCGAAGCGCACGGCATCTTGTTTGGAGCAAAATGTTCCACTTTTGTTCAGAATCTTTTCTTGCTTCAAAAGCAAACCTTTAAGTCCCGTGGGGGGATGTGGATGTACCCCCCGCCCCAGATACGGGCTTGGCTCACAGCACCTGATGCCACGTGAGGCTTTTTTTCGCGAACTTGACCGACAGAAACGAACCTAATTATCTCTATCATTATGATATACTTTGCTGCCCCCAAATATCGCTGACAAAGTCGAAAGATTAGTACACAGTCCAGGAAATATACCGGATGACTGCCTGCTCAAAAGTTGTCCCTTTTTCCCAATGACTTGCCAGTGAACTTGAAGACCGTGCGCAAAACATGGGTCAGCACAAATAAATCATTCATGTCATTGGTGTAGGGTAGGTACAGGGGATGTGTATTCGGTTTTTTTTTTCGATTTGAAAACGAAAAAGAAATTGAAAAACAATTCAATTTGAAGAAAAAGCTAAAATCAAAAAAGAAAGAGAGTCGTTTCTTGTTTCTCCATTTGAAAATGAAAAATGTAGAAGAAAGGAAAATAAACCACTTCTTGTTTTTAATGTTAAAAGCAGTAAGCGAAAACAAAAATAATTTCTTCTCAGTTTCATTTAATCCGAATTTCACCTTATAGGGCAGGTAAGCTGCTGGTTGGTCCGTGCACGTTTCGTTCATTCGTTTTCTCGAAAAACTAAATTGAATAAAAAGTCGTTTTTTGTTTTTCAGTGTGAAAAATTAAACAACAAAAACTGCAAAACGAATCGTTTATTGTTTTTTTTTTCAGTTTGGAACGAAAATAATGAAATATAGAAATTGGGTGTTTCTTGCTTTATTTTAAGTGTGAAAATATCGCAATCTGTCGATGTACTTTTTGAAGAATGAAAAACAATCCCATTTGTTGCTTCTCCTTGATTTGACTTCATAGTTTGAAAAAAGGACGCGATGGCTACCTCCCGAACATTAATCATGAAACGGCAGAGAACCAGCCGACCTCAAATTAACTAGAACTGCGCGTCTTGCGAGGCGGAATTCGAATTAAAATGGAATTTCAAAGAAATTACATTCGTTTTCCGTTTACCTTTTTTTTTAACGAGAAATGAGTTGTCAGTAATCCTTTGCCAAGCTTTTTGTTTTCAAATGGAAAAAAAGGAGAAACGAGCCTTTTTTCAATTTTAAGGTTTTTTAAAATGAAAATCATCAAGGACTTGTTTTTCACAAATTGAACGAACGAATTGTGTATGGACCAAATGAACTGGTACAAAGCCTGTTTATTCGGGTTTATGCAAGAGTGAAGCTGGGGTTGCACCAAGGGCCATGCCCCCCCCCCGAGCAACCTGTTTTTAAATAATGAGACAAGGGCATATTTTCCGGTATTTTTCATTTTCCTTCAATCAAAAACGTGTAAAGGGTAAAATGTAGCCCCATCCCTCCGAAAAGCCATGAAAGGGCACATACAAAATGTCCAGCCCCATAACAAATGAGCCACCTCCGAACATTTCTTCTGGATCTGTCTGTGGATTTATACAGATTCTACTAATATTTTGTCGAAGTTTTCCCGCCTTTAGTCAACGTTGACAGAATTTTGCATTAGAAAGAAATGGGTTTATTGCACACGCTGAAAATTGTAAAAATCCTTATTAGGAAATTTGAGTCGTATATTGGGTCATTTCGAACCTCTCATATGATACCAATGCCGTACAAAAATAACGCTGATATTGAGGTTAGCTTCTAAAGTTGCCAGAATGCGAAAGCTGGGCACTCTCAAAAGTGCCAAGCATTGGTATGATTTTTTTTCTTCGCACATACAATCTGCCGCTGAAGGACCCAGGGATGAAGGGTGCTATCGATCTCCCTCCCCCCGCTCTTTTCGGTTGAAAGGTGACAATTTCTCTTTCTCTTCAAAGAATATTCCCATTTACACGCGATGCCTCATTGTAATCTGATATCTGCAATTCATACTAAGCCTTAAACGTACTTCTTATGAAGGTACGTGATAAATTGTTTTCCAGACGAACATTAAATTACTGGTGATAATCAGTCAACCATTATTTTTAGGCATCCTCCGGCTGCGTATCAGCTACTGTCATCTCGGGCTATAATTGCTATCCCAGCTCAGTTTGTAAGTGTGTACGGGCACCGTTTTTCGCCGACAATTTGTAGATCATGTTAAGACACACATAGCATTGGCTCGTTCTCACTGAAAGAAATTATTGCTAATATCAGTACCACGCTGACGTCATTTTGGCGGCAAAAAAAGTGCCGTTGACATCACAAAGTTCTCTCCGAAATTGTTTGAATAGATAAAAATTATTTGCAGGAACTGATTTTCGTTTGGAGATTGACGATGAGGGCGCTGTTGGAGATCGCCACAATCAAATTCCTGAGCGAAATCCACCTGTCGGTCCACCAATCAGCGAGATTTTGAGCAACAATACGCAGCAACCCCCTGCGGCAGGAATGGAACAGTCGCCGTACATCATTCACTTGCCGAGAGTAGCGAGTAGTGAACTATCCGTGCACGCTCCGCGTGTAGCACATTAGTACACCAAACTTGGAGTCTATTCGAATGGAGTAAGCATGGCGGGCCGAAATGGAATAACTTTCTGGCTGGTTTTCACCACTTTTGGGATTTATATATGCCCGAGTTTGGCTAGAGAAGGTAAGAGGGATTCATGTTGAGTTTGTTTAACGGAATTTCTCGTGCCGTTTGGCGATTTTGCACCGGGTTTTGTGGACAATTCGGGAGAGGTTCCCCGTGGTGTGACTGCGGTCGTCTGGTTGATGTGCGTTATGGCAACAGGCAGATGCACTCTTGTCCCCCTTTGCGGGAAAGTTCTGCGACTTCGGCCAATTTCCGAGACACTACGGGTGGGAATATTTCACGCCGAATTCAGCCGTCCCGTCGGAGGTTTGACTCTGAAATTGGCCTTGGCATGTAACAGGGTATCCTGGCAATAAACAAGGAGTAAGGAGCTAAACTGTGAAGTTATTTTTTGAAGCAAGTTTGTGTTTTTATTTTGGATTAACCGTTAGGAATGTCGCGTCATGCACGCCGTATCGTTCCTTTAATTTCACTTCTGCCGAGCCGTGGAAAACAGTCGCTCACTCAGAAACCATCCGTCATTATAAATTGATAGCAATAAACTATGATCCACTATTTGTCTGCACGCTTCCTGTATTGGTCTGACAGGTAACTGCGGTATGTTTTTCCCATTTTCAAGTCGCCAACCGGACAGGAATCTAGCGTAAATCTGCTGGCGCCAGTGAGGGTTGTCACGGCGCTGAGCACGGTGATAAGCGCGGCGGTCGCCGCGGTACATTTCCTTTCCCCATTTCGGTGGATCGCCCAATCAAAATACTCCGTAAATCTCCGAGTTTTCCCGAGCGCAACAACCCCGCACGTCATCCCTAAGCCATCAAAGGAATTATGGACATATAAGTCTCGCTTGTTTGACGGGCTTTTAGCTCGAAAATGATAATTCCGGGCGGTCATAATTAAAACGGTTTCGGAAATCGCTCGGCGCCGTGCGCCTCGTGACTGAGGCCGACGGGCCGATACTAAATAATGCAGGCGAAAATTTCCAACTCGCATGCCCTGCGGGTTGGCGGTTTTTGGCCGCGAAAGCTAGAGACTTTTTCCCCCTGTAAACTTGCAGTCTGGGTGAAAGGGTAACGCTATGTGGACATGCCATTCAGACTCTGTATTCAGACTGACTGTCTGTCAAGTTAGACTGACCGTCTCGCTTTCGGATAATAATTCAATGGAATATTCATTTGCATTGAAAAGACGTGATGTGACCTGCACTTAATAGATTTTGAAAGCAAAAGGACAAAGGAAGAAATAGACGTGGTGACAGTGAACTTTGATAAACAATAATGAAAAAAAAAGAAAGGATTTGTTACTTGAACTAGTAGGTTAAATAGTTACCTGATCTATAAGATCATTGAGTGTTTTTCAATGTGTACTTTCATACCTCAGGCAAATGTCATTATTACTGTAGCCTTTTTCTCACATTCACAACTACTGTACAAGAATACTAAAGATTAGTTATAGCGCTACAAGAAATTCCTGTTTTGGAGGACAGTCATGCAGGCCCTGTCCAATTAGTTTGTCGACATCAACATAATTTATCACACAGAGGCTAGTGCAAAGCAATCACCCAGCGATTGATGTAACCCAAACTAGTGGCTGTTATGAGTTGGAAACGAGGACGTCTCCATTTCACAAACCTTTAACTTGTCTCGCCTCTTGCGCTACGCAATGCCAAGGTTTGCCGCTCGCAGGTGCCCGGCCTGCCTCATTCGGTTTGCGCAGCGCTATGGAATCGATGTAAATAACCTTAAGCACGGCAAGGCAAGCGTCGTATGCTCCAAACCGGTTAGGCATTGATAGATATTGCCTTGTTAGAACTTAAAGTGCAGTGATGGGGTGCAGCTCTGACCAAGATAAATTAGGCACTGGTCTGAACTTGTATTCACGTTGTCACTGTTTGCTGAAGGAAAGTGGGGCATCTATATTTACATAAAGCATGCAGTGCAAGTAGTGTACACTATTACATGGCAGGCTACTAGTCAAGCTTTTGGGTTGAGCAGCCCTGTCCATCAAACCCACTTATGTTCATCGTAATGTCCACATTGCATTGTTTCATCTTCTGTTTTCATCACAGTTGGCATGGAATTTGGATTTGTTGTCTGTGGGAGGCGTTCGTCACTTACCTAAGGCCCGAATGTGGTGTGCAGAGACACAAGATCGAAGTTGACTCTTGTGCATTCACATTGGTGCGAAACTGATGCTTTAAGAAATTCCAACCCCCACATAACATTTTGGCTCCTTCTGGGCAATAAACCAGCACCGCACTGCCACCCGTGCATATACATGTATATATATACACAGTCGCGGAGTTGCGTATTGATTTTGAAAGCGGGGGAGTGCGTGGCGGCCATTTACGGAGCCCTACTGTTGCAATAAAATGAGGCCTGCGGCCCCTGGGCTCTGATTTCCTCCAAACTCCCTGGGAAGGAGGAGGAATCTCCACTCAGTGAGCATGATGAACTTAAAGGGCCATTTGAGTGCAACTTCGGAATTGTAAAAACTTAAATCTTACAAACTCTGCCTTGTGCCGACTGGCTTTCATGAAACTCACGATGTCCTTGTACTGTTACATGTAATTTGAACAAGTCTTGTTGTTAAGAAGATGCATCGAGGATGATGCAGTACCATTTACCCACTGTTCACAAGGTTTCAGGGCTGCGATGGAAAACAGTGGAGATATTGTGATTGCTCGGGCAGAAATAACGATGATACTTTCTGCTGCAAGTTTGTGATCGCCGTTTGATATCTTGGAATGCTGCCCTTAGACAGTACTCGATGTTTCAAAGGAAAATTATGCATGAATCGTACGTTTACAGGAATCAGGACCGGAGGGTTGTCGCAACATTAGTAGGCAGCTCTGGTGAATCTCCGCACAGTTCATTGTGAAACAAAAAATACCTCTCAGAAATGATGCAAGAGCAGCGTTTTGTCAACATCTGCTTGCAAGTTGGAGAGAAAGAGTAATTGGTTTTCAAAGGTCATTGAGCCGATTTCTCATCGCTCATGTATCCCTTAGATGAAAATTGACTACAGCTCGTTACGAATCGCCCCCTTAAATGATAATTCATGTCAGCGCAGAGCCCCCGTTATGCACCGACTGGTGTCTCGGCCCTGCTTCTTATCAAATTATGGTGTTATTGATACGCAAGTGGGTCATTCAGTGCGTGAATGTGCTTTGGATGCATTCAAATGAACAAATGGAGATGTCATTTTGATAACCAAAAAATTCATGCCGTGAATCCTTGAGATGAAAAAAAAAATCTACATGGGAATGGTCCTGGCCTTTTTAAAAAAGTGAACAGCTTATAAATGCAATTACTTAATAAATTTCACCAACTGTCATGAAGTACCCTCCAAAACCTGCCACTAACTTGGCCGACAGTTAATTGTCAAGCTTCAGTCTTGAGAGCTCTTGAGCCCAGCTTGATTGAAAACAGCAGCTCCTGTTGTGAAAACCAATTCCACACTGAAACCTGTATGACCTTGTGAAGGCTTGTGCATCCATGTATACAATGTAACTTATATTTTATCTCTTGACCTTGGCATTGTATTACAAACGAATAAGCCAACTGATAATAGATAGGGGTACATGTTTTAACATTTTGTAGGCGAAAGGAAATAAACTAACAATTTGTAACGTGCTCACAACTTCTCAGGGCATGATGATGAAAGTTCGCATAGACGCGCCTGTTAATTCAGTTGTATATATTTGGATATTTTTCAGGAAGTAATTCTCCACATCACTCTGATAGGTTTACCATTGCGTCTGCAGTTTCAAACATAAACGTACATGCTCCTTCTGGGAAAATACACATCAGAAAATTTGCTTTCCACTTGCTCATGTTCTGCCGCAAGTCTGAAGCTAAGGGATACTCCTGAATTGCATCCCTTCCCTTGGCGGGTGTATTTTCGGCAGAAATGTAATGGCTGAGATATGTGCACTATTCATGTGGGCATGGTGGGGGGGGGCAGAGGGAATGTGGCACTTACTGAATCCGGTAAGGTTTGGCACATTGCACCCGTAAATGTGTGTTATGTGCATGATATGTGCATTGGGCCTCGGGGGGTCCGTGTGCAGCTGCTTGCTGATGCCAATGTGAAAAAAAAAAGAAAAATTGGGTTCGGAACATTGTAGAAATTGCTCATTTTGGATGCACGTTTGAAGCCTGCAAACATTTGGACGACAGCATTTGGTACAATGTGCCGAGGTGTCACTCTGAAACAATCGACACTCATTACTCAACTCGTGAACAACGCTCTACAGGTATACCTTTATGCATGGTACAGTTTAATATCTAAAGTCAACTGAAATCTATGAAATCAGCCACAAATCATGAATCATTAACAAGTTCTTGATTTTGATGGCCTTTCACATTATTCAAGGGATTTACTTTCTGTCACCAGCGAAGTAAATAATTTAAAGATAGCCAAACATGGTCAGACATCTTTGGAATCAGTGCAGCGGTCCATTCAGGCCGTAATTCAACGATCTTATTGGGCATACAACAGACTAAGAACCAGTCGTGCCGATTCGGAGTATAGCGCGGCCTAATGCATTAATCTCATGCATTATTCCCCACCATTACCCTTTTGTGAGGGGTGCACGGTCCTGCGAGGGTGCGTAGCAATCAGCGGATATTAAACCTTCTCTCCGCCCGTGAGTCAGACGCCGGGGTGCTAATGACAATTTATTTAATACATCTTTTTTTGTTAGGGGGGCACAAACTGTGTTGCAAACACACACATTAAGCCCGCCCCAACAATGACATGTTGGCATTTACACTTCTAATTAATAGAACTGATGTCTTTGGTGGACGGACATTTTATCATCATTTAGAAACAGTTTTGCACTTCAATGGATGGATCACCCTTTTATCCAGTAACATGTGGAAAACGACCTTCATTTTTCTTTCCATCATTGGCTTTGATTGCATTAACCTTAACAGCCCTGAAGTACTACTTAATAGTAGTAAAATGCAGCATACAGGGCTGCCGCTTGTAAGAGGACATGACCTTATTGTTCTCTGACGCCATAAGATACAATAGAGAAGACAATGTACCATACA